CTTCTCTTTGATCGCTTGAGTGTGTCAATCTCTGCCACAATCCTTTTCTCTTCCCTTAAATTAAGTTGCTGTGCCTGCATCTGGTGTTCTAGTCTCCTGCACAGACATACCAACCTCCAATTAGTTGAGCCACTATTTTTGATCACTTTGATTATGTGACGTTATCGTATAACTGACGGTGTTATCATAGCTTGTACAGGTTAACATCTCTTTGTTTCAGACTGGAAGAAAATCTGCATGACCACGAGATTATCTTCAACATTAGCCAATAACAAATTTATTGTAAATATATTAACTCTCTCACTTTCGTGCATGACCAATAAGTAATTTCTCCTTAAAAAATTAACACAATATCAGTCAGGAAGATGATGAGAAGTTCACAAAATATCACCAAAGGACACTATTTGATTAAAGATCAAATTCTCTGAGATACAATCATGAGAAATGGATAGAAGACAAAGTGGAGAATTTAAATTGAGATCATGTAAGTGAAATGGTCAATTGCAAGACAATGAATCAACAATTAGTGAGATAAAAAATACACAAACCTCACAGCTTCATCTATTCTGGCCTCTGATTTGTATCTTGTTGCTGCTTGAAGCTTTGTGCATGCATCATTCTAGAAATTAAATAACAAAAAAAAGAAATAAATAAAATTTAAATTATTCCCCATCCTCCCTCCAAATGGAACCAACATTTCCTTCTGTTCCAAAGGAGACTGTCATGAGAAGGTCCATGGTACTTCATGGTGAAGATGCATGGAAAGAAAATATATGGCCAGCTGAAAAATTCCATTTCTACAATTTTTCCTTAGCAGCCGGTATTTTTTGTTTAATATAGCTTTGCATTTCCCTTTAACTTGTTAAATTTTATAAATTACCATTTAAATCTTGATTGCATTATTTTTTGGCATTTACAAGATGGGAAACTCACAAAATCTATGGTGGGTGAATACAAATTTCAGTTCGCTAAATATCTGTCACTCAAAGAAAACGTGTATTTGGGTTGAATAAATTAACATCAAATTTCAACATCATCCCTTTGGAAAAAAACCACGTTACTATAGACTAAACAGATTTGTTCCTCCAAACACATCGTTACAAAAATTACATAATAAGGTCAACTGGCTATAAAAAGATTTTTTTGTGATGATCCAATTCCAATTTAGTTACAAACTTGAGTTATATTTCATCAATCCGATAAATGGCAATCGACAGAAAAATGGTCGATTGTAATCACATCAATAAATTAAAAAAGCACAGAAGCTGGTAACCCTTCAATTAAAAGGAAGATCACAGATCAATTCAGAGAAATAACAATAAAATAAATCGGAAACAGCGGTTTTATAGCGGTTTACCACTACAATTTTTTTCGCAACCTTCATGTCACTTGCTAAAAATAGTTTAGAAAACATACTGTCGTTGTGGTATTCGCGGATTTCGAGTGCAAAATACAACATACCTTCTTCCGAACTTGATCATTTAACCCTTTAAGTTCGAGATCACACTGTTTCCTTTCTTCGATGACTTTCTCGCGCTGAGTGCGTAGGTCTTGAAGTTCTTCGTGCAACTTCTCCTTATCGACCGGGGCAGCCGACTTGTTAATTCTGCCCCCAGACAGCAACACTTGCTTTCAAGTGATTTCTACAAGCAAAGAATTAAGGACATTTAAAAACAAATAAAAAGTAAGAAAAAACGATTTTACACCTGCGATAACAACAACGACAAGATATCTCTCAATGAAAGGGACTCATTCAAAATCGGCTTAATCAGCAAAGTGCAACAAGTGTTACCAATTTCTCTTCGGTCTCTCGAATTCTTGAACCAATTTCATCCATTTGAAGCTGAAATATCTTACTGTTGGGCGGTTTAAGACTTTCTGATGCATTTTCGGCAACAGCTGTACAGGGATAAACAACAGTTCGTGAGTTACTCGAGATAACCGACAAGTTTTCCAATAAAATCACGCTAACTACTTAAAAGTACCTTGGCAGGTTTTCGAATTACTGTTAATCGAATCATTCAAAGGCGACTCTATCTGTCCATCCTCCTCCTCTCCGCTATTTTCATTGTTCATTTTACGTCCTCAGCAATGCTGGGAGACTCCTCGAAGAGTGCTACCATAAATTTTCGTGTCACATTTTAGCGATTATCACCACCAAAATAAATTCATCCGACCGAAAACCATAACACAAAGAGGCTTCAAACACGTACCTTTCTCCGCTTGCATCATGGTTATAAAAAAAAAGGGTAAGCCTGGGGAGAAGCACACTTCTCCCTAACTAGGGTCGGGTCGGGGAGCCTTTATTTTTCAGTTACCTTTTTTTCAGTTCATAACTTTATTTATTTTCATCTGTATGTTCCTTAATTCAAATGTCTGGTAACGAGTCCTTTTGAGAAGCTGAAAATTTTGGAATTTATCGTTATATAAATCAGTATAATTAAAAACTCTTTCCGACGAAAAATTTTTTTAAAAGTTTTTAAAGCAACGAGCACATATCAATCGATAAAATGGATGACGACAGATTGTTTCGCAAATCGTAAAAGAAGAGAGTCAGAACAACTCACGGTCTGGGTAATGTGAGCATCGATCATGTGTACGACAAAAAATGGCCAAATGTTTGTAGCGTTTAAAAGAGTTTTTACGAGTCTGACTCACGTCACCAAACGGTACCCTTATACCCCTCTTCTACACAAACAAAGTAAAATAAAAACTAAAAGGAAAGAAAAAGGAGAAGATCAGTACACCCGACTTTCCGTACTCAGCGTCTAGTCTCGTAACCATATCCTACTGATTAGCTGTAACTAAAATGTAGGATCCTCACAACCGCCCAGCCGTGGAGGCCTGGGTTAAAAGCTTCCCAGTGTCTTGTAAAAGTGATGATGACACTTCAGTACTTTACCACAATCATCCTATGAAGGAAAGAAGAAAAAAAAAGACACCAAAAAAAAACAAAACAAAACAAAACAAATTTAAGTCGGCCATTTTAAAATCATTAAAGTATTCTCTTCGTTTCGGCCAGATCTTTTTTTTTTAACACATTTATATTTATTTCATTGTTAATCCGTTCAATAAACGCACGGAGGCAGCATGACCGATCGTAAAAAATTTGGAGAACTGGTCTCACAGTATGTATTTAAAGAGACATCTAGTTCAAACATAGATTTGCTCGACAAGCCACCCAGGCCCGCTTCACATAACCTTCCCTTCAGTACTGCAAAAGATAATAACCTTTTTTTTTCATCATTTAGCGGCTAACAAGGTTATGAGGTTGATATTTTTAATCAAAGCTGCCGATGATTTTGCTCCCCCCACCCCCATACTGTAGGGCAGTGACACTGCATTCAGCGGGCACCCAACAACTAGCGAATGTTAACGAGAGGTTCAAGAACCGCCCGAACATCCCCCGAAATGGAAAAAAAACCCAAACAAACAAAAATCATTTCTTTTCTATTTATTCCAATTTCAAAAATATTTTCATCAAGCATTGCAAGGTGGAATAAAAGTACATGAAACAAGATAGAACGAAGGAAGAATGGAAAAGACCACTATATTTTTCTTCCATTTTAAAGAGCGGTCGATGTCGACCTGGAACTATTCTACTTTTCGTGACTTTTCCGGAATGTGTTCGGAAAGCTGTGATCTCACGTGACTTGAAGGCGGAAGTTGGTCCGAGTATGTAAAGATCCAGCGTAAGAAGTAACTGTCTTTTTCTGCACTTTACATTTGTCTATTAAAAGAGCTTTGAGATGGAAAGAGGATCTTCGAATGCACTCAATGCGAATTCTGTGAAAGATACAGGGAAAAGTGAAGACCTCAAGAGCGGAGCATCTTGTAGCGCTGAAGTAATCGTGGATCAGTGGATTGATGTTATGTTTATCTGTAGCGAGTGGGGCTCCTCGAAAGGTGGATTATCAACGTTTAACAGGGAAATTGCTGTGAATCTAGCGAAGTATTCGAAAGAAAGAATTAAGGTTCACTGCTTTGTTTGCCAAAGCACAGAAGAAGAACGAAAAGATGCGAGCAGCAATGGTGTCCATTTAATCACAGCACGGCGCCCTCCCGGATCCAGTGATTCACTTGAATGGATTCGAATTCCTCCACCAGAGCTTCGTAATCCTAACATCGTCGTTGGCCACGGTAGGAAGTTTGGTGGTGCGGCTTATTCCATTCAGCAAATAACAGGTTGTAAGTGGATACACTTTGTTCATGTGTTTTGCGAGGATCTTGGAAAATTCAAGCTGGAATGCAATGTTACGGCTGATGCAATTGCAGATAACGAAGAGAAGAACAAACGAGAACTGGAGCTGTGCAAAGCATCTAACTTAGTCGTTGCAGTAGGCTCCCTACTACAAAGAAAATATCAAAGAAGTTTGCCAGATTTTAAAGTAGAAGTCATTACTCCAGGGATTTTCGAAAAGTTTGTCAATCCAACCACAAGGCCGCGTGAATGGATGAAATTTGAATCATCAGGAGAAGACGAGTTTCGTATCTTCATGTTCGGTCGGGGAAGCTTTGAGGACTTTGAACTGAAAGGATACGATATAATCGGTAAGGCTGTGGCTTCACTGGAAAGAAAATTCGAGCTCACTTTTGTTGGTGCACCACAAGATCAACAACGGAAGATCGAAAAATGGTTCCTGGAGGAAACGAAAATAACACGGAATCAACTAACCATCAAAGGCTTTTGTAATTACAAAGAAACGAGAGAGATATTTCGTCAAGCGGATGCAGTTGTGATGCCATCCCGCACCGAGGGCTTCGGTCTGGTTGCCCTGGAGGCCATATCAGCTGGTGTGCCTTTGCTGGTCTCCAGGGAATGTGGGATAGCCAAAGCCCTCCAAACTGTGGATGGTGGGATGGCTGTGGTCATCCCCTCAGCTTCACCAGAGGAATGGGCAAACAGAATCCAAGAGCTATCACAACAATCACCAGATGAGAGATATGCCTCCGCTGTGTGTCTGAGAGAGAATTATGGGAAGAGGTACCACTGGAAGGAAGAAAGTGAAAAGTTTATGAAGATGATTCTGCAGTTGGCTCCCAATCCCTCTCCTAAGGAGACTGTAATCACAGGTTTGCTTTTGTAATGATAACTGTAATGTCTAAGTCAATGTCAATTTCAAAGAATGTTTGCACCGTGAGAATTATAGCTACTGACTTCCCCAAGAAAGATTTATTCCTTTGTAATAGAAACAATTGTGTTACTTTCAAGTGCATACCTATTAGATGATCAGGAACTGTCTCCAATTCTTGTTATTGGTCACTGAAGGTTGCTACTTATTAATGCCCTTACTGTCATTTTTGAAAAAATAATCAAGAGAGAGATCACTTATTTAAGACATTTTTTTGCAAGATTACTAATTGTATTTCCTCGAATAAAAGCCCATGTTCAAATAAGTGCCCCCCCCCAAATAAGCATTCACCACTTAGACTGTAATTTCCAAAAAGCACCCCCTCGAATTACTGCCCCCCCCCTCCTCCCTCATTTTGTTAAAATAGTAGGGATACAATGAAAACCTGTTTCTATTGCCGCTTCATTTAATTGTAACTTTTTGGACTTTACCTATAGTGGAATCAGTGCAGGAGAATAGTTTCTTTTCCATTCAGTTATTTTAATCTCCATGTGATTGAAGAGTTCTGTTAGGTGTCTAATCTGTTCTTTTAAATTTCATGCCACTAAGCACCTTCCATCCAGGAAGTTGCCCCCCCCTCCCCCCCTTGCAGGCACTTATAGGAGGAAATATGGCATCCTGAAATTAAATTGGCTTTATTTATTTCCTTTATTTCCAGGAAAGGTTCCTTGTAGTTCAAACAATAAAGAACAAACACAAAGGAAGGAGGTTTTGACAGCAAAAGGTAAATTTTGGATGATAATTGTAAAATCCATGAGCAATGAGTAATATTTGCTTGGAAGGACACAGGTCTACAAAAATTCAAAGGGTAACCTCACTGCCATTTGCCCATGGGTTGCCTAGAAGGGGGTAAGATGTTGAAGCTTTAAAATGATTGGCAGCCAATTATATGTAGGCTAGCTAAGATGTCAGCTTATCTGATAAATATTGCTCTTCACTTTCGGTAGGCAATCTTTTACATAATGGCCTAGAAGTTGGCAAAAGAGATGGAAGGGAACAAAGTGAGTCTGCACCAGGTGGGTGAATGAACATTTAAAATTGCAGGTTATACCCTAATTTGGTTCTTTTCTTAAAAATAAGCTTGCATGATATTGTTTGAACTGTACAAAAGATCTCTGACAGTCAGAAAGTAGAGTTGTAAAATTCTACGTAACATTGAATGTTTAATTATTGTTGAAGGTTTGTCTTGAATCAGCAGATAATTTCTGATTAACAATTGATAAGTTCAGTCTAATTTTGAGCAGAAACTTGAATTAATAATTTGCTTAGTTTGTTTAATTTTCTTCAAATACACTAAACAGCTAAGTAGAACTTATTAAAAAAATAAGAAAGAAGAGTGTGTACCAGGTGAGTAAACTTTACTTAGCATGATACATTTAGCAATATTACAGTAAGACTGCAACTGTCAGGAGCATTGTCAGGAACAAATCAGTGAATCAAGTATGCTACAGAAGAGCTCTTAAAAGAATGAAAAACTCTGGTAAATCAGCTTTACATTGCTTCAACATTAGTATTATCTGCATCTTCCAGTTGAATACTATGACCAATGAGCACCCATGCTCTAAGATTTCAGTCTTACCTGTGTTTGGTTCACTTAATTACTGCATGATTTGTATTTTTTCATATTCACTAGATTCAGTTACTGTAATAAAATACTGTTGGAAGTATGCAGGCATAAATTATTGGGCCATATCCATAAGTGGCAAACATGCACGTGTACATGAACTAATGCCAATGAGTGTGCTTCTAATGATCTAATAACAATAATTTGTGCATTCAGGGCTGTGAGTTTTGTTTGGCTTTTGAACATATAACTGCGTGGTTTACATTAGAGTATTAAAGTAAGCCATGTTAACATAAACTCTTCAGCTATGTATGTATTTCAATCAATATGAAATATAAAGGGGGAAGGGGGGTTGGGGAGAAGTCCTGGATAAAACAACAACGAAGGACTATAGGGGAGGGACTGAGACTCCTCAGGGATATTAGACTTTTTCCTTTTATTTTGTGTAACATTCCTATTTTGTTGCTTTGGTTTAATCCCTTAAATATCCAAAATTGATCAATGTGTAATTTCTCATAACACTGTCACATAAAGCATCTTTGTGCAAAAAGGGGGCAAGATTGATTTTAAGGGTAGTAACATTGAACCAATGTGGAAGTGAGAGAGGACAAGAAATATTAAGACATCCATCATTTTTACTTTTTCTTGTCTTCTAAATAGTAGTCTATTTGCAGTTTTCCAAACCAGGTAGCATTCCATAATATGATATTTCTCTCCTTTCTCCACAGAAAAAGCTCCAAAAACCTCATTAGAGAAAAAAAGAACTGATGAGAATGAACAAACAAAGTCTGTTCAAGGTGAGTAAACTTTGCAAAGCATGACATTTAATGATAATAATATTATTGTCAATTATCTCCAGAACAAAGAATAGGGCTGGTCGGTGAACACTGCAAACTACCGTAATATCCGGCTGTTTACCTGTGGATAATCTGTTGATTTTGCATTAAATGCACACCACTGCAGGTTATAGGGAGGAGCGGGTTATGTGAAAATTTTAAAATCTACTGGTAGTTGAATTGAAAAAAATTCTCACCTACATGCGTTTACACCTCTCAATTATTGTATTAAGAGTGCCACAAAGTGGCATGAAAACATGATGCCGACTTGAGTTTATTTCACAAATAATTGGTTGCGTGACAAACAAATTGTTATCGGCATTCGTGAAAACAAGACCTTGCTGGTGACAAAAATAATCTAAAGATATCCAGTGCATCAGAAACAAATTTCCATTTAACACTAGCTTGGGTGAGAGAGAATTTTCCCGTTTTAAGGGACTTGTTAAGCCCATTGGAACCGGATATATCACCAACAGTACTTAGTAATTCAAGTTTAAACACTCACCCAGCTTTCTTTCAACAAATCAACATGATGCTGAACGATCACTCACACAAAATGTGGCCACATGGGTGGGTTATCCACCAGTGCAGGTAATCTGTTAATTTTGTTTTGCTGTATGCAATAATCGGTGCAGGTAATCAGCCATGTGGGTAAATGGCCTGAAATTATGGTAGTTGGTTTAATTTTCTTCAAATAAACTAAAAATAATAAAAAAATAAGAAAAAAGAGTGTGTGCCAGGTGAGTAAAATTTACTTAGCATGATACATTTAGGAATATTACAGTAGGACTGCAACTGTCAGGAGAATTGTAAGGAACAAATCAGTGAATCAAGTATGTCATAGGAGAGCTCTTAAGAGAATGAAAAAAATCTGGTAAATCAGCTTTACATTGCTTCAATGATAGGATTATCTGTATCTTCCAGTTGAATACTATGACCAATTACTCTATTTCCTCATATGAGTGCCCATGCTATAAGATTTGAGTCTTACCTGTGTTTGGTTTCACTTAATTACTGCATAATTTGTATTTTTTCACATTTATTAGATTCAGATACTGTGATAAAATACTGTTGGAAGTATGCAGGCACAAATTGCTGGGGGCAAGATTGATTTTAAGGGTTGTTACATTCAAACAATGTGGAAGTGAGAGAGGAAAACAAATGTTTAGACATCCATCCAAGTCTATTTGTGGGTTTCCAAACCAGGTAGCATTCCATAATGTTATTTCTCTCCTTTCTTTACAGAAAAAGCTCCAAAAACCTCTATAAAGAGAAAAAGAACTGACGGGAATGAACAAACAAAGTCTGTTCAAGGCGAGTGAACTTTGCAAAGCATGACATTTAATGATAACTGTCAATTATCTCTAGAACAAAGAAAAGGGCTGGTTGGTGAATACTGCAAATTAGTGATTCAGATGTCATAGAACATGATTAAACTATGGAAGTTTTCCAAACTGCTAAGGCAATAAGAAATTCTTTTCTGTAGCATGACTTTCATATCCTGTCCTTTGATATCACTTGGAGCAACTGAAAACAAACCAAGTCAAGGCCTCGCTTTAGCTGTGTTGTTAACGAGCAGTTAGGACTATTTTTTATTTATTTACTAATCTTGGTAGCAAACAGAACAACTTGACTGTTTACCAATGAAAGTAACGGCTAAGAGGCATTTTCAATTACAACCGAAACTTGACACAATTAACACAATTAATATCGACCAAGCTTCAACCTCATATAAAAGCATCAATCAAGTGAATTACTATCAGTTCTAGTGAAAAGTCTCTAACATTATAGATCAAGACAGGTGTAACAAATTAATCTCAATTGTCAATTATGCAGTTAAACTAAATAGGAAATTTGTGTTTGAACAAGGCCCTCTTTGATAAAATTAATGATCTATAATTAAAACATTTACTCGGTCTTCATTTCCCCCTTTAAGTTACTAGTTCCATCACAGCTCTTCCCTCACTACACCCTTCTTGCGTTTTGTTGGCGTTTTAAATTTCTTTTCAAATTGTTTGATTTTAGGTGACACTTTTGTGAGCTAGGTCAGCAGAGCAAGCAAGAACACTAACACCCCCTCCCCCTTCCCAATCGAGTGATCATCCTCCCCTCCTCTCCCACTGTCCAAAATAAATGGAAAACCTGATTTTATTAACACTTTATTTATAACTCTATAAAGCTTCAACTACAGCCAAATCAGTAGAGTCTCCAGTTTCTTACTAAACACTCCCTTGAATAAGCAGCTTCCCTCTGATAAGCACCCCTCCTCTAAGCCACAACTTGAAATAATTCAAGCCTGGGTGCTTATTCCAGGAAATGCATGTAAAGTTAATAAATGTAATGAAGCAAAGACCTTTGTGTACCAGTAATTTCTGATTGGGATGAAGCTATATAATATTTGTAGTATTTTTGTCACAGTTTCTGGTCTTTCCACTTTGCTTTTAATTTAAAAGGATATGTATGGAAATAAAGGGGTAAGTTTCTAAAGAAACTGTGGTGCTGTGTCGGTGGGAGAGTATAGCAGGTAATTTAGTGTTAACAACTGAGTTGAAAACGTTAATTAGCCACTGTAAAGGGTAAAAAAGCTGATGTTTCGAGCGTTAGCCCTTCATCAATCGCTCTGACGAAGGGCTAACGTTGAAACGTCAGCTTTTTTACCCTTTACGGTGGCTAATTTACGTTTTCAACTCAGTTGTTAACACTAAATTACTTGCTATGTATGGAAATACTTGTAGAACTTTATTAATCAAAGCTCTGTTTGACAAGAAATGAGTTAGTTCTTAAACATAGAACAATGGTGATCAAAGAAGAGTTATTTACATGTATTCACGTTTGCTTACATGTCATCCAGCACAAATGGATCAAACATATTAATAACGATTTTCCATGTATCCCTTTTCTACAAATTTTTTCGTCACTCTAATGACTTTTTCCATGAAGCTAAATGGAGGCAAAAGATTATCTGCCTTATACTTATAGTTAGCACTAATAAAGTAAATATGTTTAAAATTAGAGCTTTGCCTGTGTTTGGTTGATTTAATGAGTGCATAATTTTTATTTTTTTCATATTCATCAGATTCAAGTACAGCTCCACGTGATTCAACAGAAGAAGTCCGTGCAGCAACAAGTATGGCTTTAGAAGGTACATGTATATACCATATGCCTATGGGTAATTTATGAATTTCAACTATTTTTGGAATTGGGAAATGCAAAGGGATGGGCGGGGAGATTAATGGAGATTAATAAAGAGCAAGAAATTACAGAAAAGAAGAGACTACAGAGTTGATAATGTAAATTGGACACTGTGTAGGGTTTTAAAACTGATGCTTCATGTTGCCCACCGGTGTTGCAAGCTATATGATAATCAGGCATAGAGCTTGATATTAAGTGTTAAATGTGTGAAATAAGGGGGTTGGCTTGAAGGTTAGTATCTATGAGGAAACATAATGGGAGTGTAATTGCATAAATCCAGCAACATCTACTTTGAGTAAGCACAGACATGGAGGATAGTGTGGGGAAGCAAACAGAAAAGACCTGCATGACGAAAATGAAATATTTGGCAACTAAACTGTTTTGAAACTTACAAAATAGTTATTGTACCTCATAACTACCAATTCTCTTCAGCTGATTTTAATTACTAATTTTTACCTGGCTGCTAGCCTGAAAATACTTAAGTTGCCTAACATTTCCTCTTCATCTTGACACTTGCGCAAAACTAATTAAAAGGGGGAAGTCCCTAATTCAAGTTTTGTTGGCAAGTTCAAGTTAGAATTTTCTGCTAGCGACTAGTTTTTACAAGAGGTAAATAATTTAATTAATGACTGGCAAATCTGGGAAAGATCATCAATGGAGGGTTTTCCTAAATCTTAAGAGGGAAAAAAAAAGAGGAAAACAAAAAAAAAAAAAAAGAAGGGACAGCAAGAGGAAAGCAAGAGGAAAAAACCGTAGGTAGAATAATAAAGGAAGAAGGGGGAGGGAAAAAGGAAATTGGGAGAGGAGCAAATGGAAAAGGAGGAGGAAGATGGCTAGGAAGATGTTTTTTCTCTGCTTTACTTTGATGGAAGCTAGTGGCTGTTCTCCTTGTAATATTGCACATTTGACAAAGGCTCTTATTTTCCATCTTGATTTTGATCCACCTAACATTAAGCTGTGCCTCCCTAGAAGTCTTAATCTATTAGTATTTATAAGTCATCCAACAGGTTTATTTGGTGAAATGCTAAACAACCCTGTTCTTGGCAAACCCCCTGCCTTTCTGTACCTCCAGGCTGGGGTGGGGAATTTGAACCAGAAGTGTTAAGTCTTTCCAGTGAAATACAAGTTAGTACCCTTTAATTTGGAGGTGTTTAAGGTAAACAGTTCACTTTCACTATAGAATGGCTCGGAAGAAAAGGTCTACAAGGCTTAGGTTTTTATGCCTGATCAATGTGTAGAAAGTCAAAGTTTCTGATTTTGCCTTTTACAAAAAACTCTGCTAATTCAAGCAAATGCAGTATCTAATACTATTAAATTTTGTGGGAAAAGACCTTTGTGTAATTGCTGATTGGAATGAAGCTATTAAATATATGTACAACTTCTGCAACTGTTTCTGTTTTATACTTTCAACTTATAAGGAAATGTTTGGAAATACCTGTAGAACTTTATCATCCCAACACTTATTAAACAAAGCACTATTTGAGTAAACTCCAGAAAGAGATTAAATGTGTAGATAAAGCCTTGAAGTAATGAAGGAGGAAGTGAGTTAGTTGTTTCCAAAAATGATATATTTGGTAATCAAAGAAGAGCTTAATTTACTTGCAGTATTCATGTTGGCTTATGGGTCATTCAGCACTTTGATCAAACAATATCAATATGTTAGTTCTTGCCTAACTCTTTCTTCCACAACACTTCTCACTCTTCTGACTTTTTCAATGAAGCTGAAAGGAGGCAAAATATTCTCTCATTTCCTCTCAGGACTGATATAGTAAATATGTTTATTATTTGAGTCTTAACCTGTGTTTGGTTCATTTAACGACTGCATAATGAATTAGTTTGTATTTTTCGGTGTTCATGAGATTCAGGTACTGTGACAAAATACTGTTGGAGGTATATGCAAGCATAACTTACTGGGTCATATCTGTAAGCAGTGAACTCACACACGTGCCCATGAACTCATTCCAATGAGTGAGCTATTAGTGATCTAACAACAATAATTGTGCATTTGGGGTTGTGAGTTTTGTGTGTGGCTTTTGAACATGTAACTGCTTGGTTTACATTGGAGTATTAAAATAAGTTTTTCTTTCAACCTAAACTCATTGTTGTAGGTGCAGCTGCATACATTTCAACAAAAAAGGCACAGAGAAATACAAAAAAAGTTTGGACAGCAACAGGTACAGTTGTAGAAGAAAGACACCACATGCCTATCAACAATTCATGTATTTCAACCAATGTGAAATATGAAGGGGAAAAGGGGGTTGGGGAGAACATCCTGGATAAAACAACAAGGGGGGACTATGGGGGAGGGACTGGGGCTCCTCAGGGATATTAGAGTTTTTGGTCTTGTTTTATGTAACATTCCTATTTTGTTGCTTTGGTTTAATCCCTTTAATACCCTAAATTGATCAGCATCTAATTTCTCATGACATTGTCATTTAAAGCCTCCTCTTGCAAAAAGGCAGCAAGATTGATTTTAAGGAGAGTAACATTGAAACAGTGTGGAAGTGAGAGAGCACAACGGATGTTAAGACATCCATCATTTCCTTTTTTCTTGTCTCCTAAATGGAAGTCGGTTTGTAGGTTTTCAAACTAGGTAGCATTCCATAATGTGATATTTCTCTCCTTTCTCCACAGAAAAAGCTCCAAAGGCGTCTTTAAAGAGAAGAAGAACTGATGGGCATAAACAAACAAAGTGTTTCCGAAGTGAGTAAGCTTTACACCTCATGTCATTTAATTATAACTGTCAATAAACTCTAATGCAAGGAATAGGGCTGGTTGGTGAATACTGCAAATTAGTGATTCAGATGCCCTAGGACATGATTGAACTACACAAGTTTTCCAAAATTCCAAAGCTAAGAAAATATTCTTTCCTGTAGCAGAATTTCACATCTAGTCTGTAACAGTTTGAGCTACTGAAAACAAACGAAGTCCAGGCTTCGCTTTAGGTGTGTTGTTAACAAGCAGCTAGGACTATTTTTGATTATTCATCCTGATAGCAAACGGAAAAACTTGAATGAATATCAAAATGACAGCTGACAGGCATTTTCAATTACAACCAAAACTAGACACAATTAACACAATTGATATCAACCAATCTTTGACCACACACTTAAACATTGATACAGCGAATTACTATCAGTTCTGTTGAAAAGTCTCTAACATAAGATCAAGATGGGTGCAACGAACTAATCTCAATTTTTCAATGATGCAATTTAACTAAATAAGAGAGTTATGTTTCTAAAACTATTAAATTTGGAAAAGCAAAGACCTGTGTGTAATTGCTGATTGGGGTGAATCTATTTAGTGTATGTTGAACTTCTGTAGCTGTTTCTGCTTTACTTTCAACTTATAACGAAATGTATGGAAATACTTGTAGAACTTAAAATTATCCCAACATTTGTTAAACGAAGCACTATTTGAGTAAACTCCAGAAAGAGATTAAGTGTGTAGATAAAGCCTTGAAGTAATGAAGGAGGAAGTGAGTTAGTTGTTTCAGCTTATGGGTCATTTAGCACTTGGATCAAACAATATCAATATGTTTGTGCTTGCCTAACTCTTTCTTCCACAACACTTCTCACTCTTCTGACTTTTTCAATGAAGGTGAAGGGAGGCAAAATATTCTCTTACTTCTATTTAGCACTGATATAGTAAACATGTTAAACATTTGAGTCCTAACCTGTGTTTGGTTCATTTAATGACTGCATAATTTGTATTTTTTGATATTCATGAGATTAAGGTACTGTGACAAAATGCTGTTGGAAGTATATGCAGGCATAAATTACTGGATCATATCTATAAGCTGGGAATATATGCACATGCACATGAACTAATTCCAATGAGTGCACTATTTATGACTGCATGGTTTACATTTGAGTATTAAAATGTCTCTTGACCTAAACCCATTGTTGCAGGTGCAGCTGCATATGTTTCAACAAAACAAGCACAGAGAAATACAAAAGAAGTTTGGACAGCAACAGGTACAGTTATAGAAGGAAGACACCACGTGCCTATCAGCAATTTATGTATTGCAACCAATGTGAAATATGAAGGGGGAAGGGGGGTTGGGGAGAACATCCTGGATAAAACAACAAGGGAGTACTATAGGGGAGGGACTGGGACTCCTCAGGGATATTAGACTTTTTCCTCTTACATTATATTACATTCCTATTTTGTCGCTTTGGTTTAATCCCTTTAATACCCAAAATTGATCAATATATAATTTCTCATAACATTGTCATTTAAAGCCTCCTCTTGCAAAAAAGGGGGCATGATTGATTTTAAGGACAGAAAGTAACATTGAAACAATATGGAAGTGAGAGGGCACAACGGACGTTAAGACATCCATCATTTCTACCTTTTTCTTGTCTCCTAAATGGAAGTCTGTTTGCAGGTTTCCAAACTAGGAAACCCAAGACTTAATGGTCATGGGCTGTTCAGCCCAAGACTTAATGGTCATGGGCCCCCATATAGCTGCTAGCTATGGCTTATAAATACAGGCATTTGGTTTTAATTGGCAAAGCATATAGTAAACTCATTTTGCAGAGTGCCACAAAAAAAGCAAATTATCTCTTGTTGTTGTACCTTTTGTAGACCCAATTAATTGAGGATATTTGCATATCCTCTTTACCCATAGGAGGGTAGGATTTCATTATTTTGACTACAGATGGAGCCAGTTTTTTTCTTCAGTTTGTGAATGGTTAACAGCTGCCTGGTTTTCAGCAAAATTTTATGATATGAAAAGTACTGTAGAAGCTGTTTTAAACTAATTAAGAATTATTCTGAGTTTAAATATAGTAATTATTATTCAGTGTGCTTGATTTGAATAGTCCCTTAAGGTGAACAAGGCTGGTCGATGAATACTTATAGTGATTCACATGTCATAGAAAGTGACTGAACAATGAAAACCAAAGTGATGGCCAACGGCCAAAACTTGACACAATTGACACAAATAATATCGACCAAGCTTCGACCGCACGTTTAGACAACAATACAGCGGATTACTATCAGTCTTGGTGAAAAATCTCTAACATAAGATCAAGACGGATGTAACAAACTAATCTCAATTTGCAATTCAACTATATAAGAAATTTCTGTCTAACAAGGTCCACATTGATAACAGTTCTACAACCTAAACGTGTACTCGGTCTTAATTTCCCCCTTAAAGTTACTAGTTGTGTTACAACTCTCCCCTCTCTACACCCTTCTTGCATAATTTTGCCTTTCTTAATTTCTTTTCAAATTGTTGGATTTTAGGTGAAACATTTGTGAGCTGGAGCAACTTATCAAACAAGAACACTAACACCCCCCCTCCCCCCATCGAATAATCATCCTCCCCTTCTCTCTTACTATCCAAAATAGATGGAAAACCTGATTCTATTTCCACTTTATTTACAACTTTAGGAATCTTCAACTACAGTCAAATCAGAACAGTTTATAGTTTATATGATTTTAATAAGCGACCTTCCTTTTAGCCACAACTTAAAATAATTGGTGCCTAGGTGCTTATTCGAGGAAATGCATGTAAAGTTATTAAGTGTGGTGAAGCAAAGACCTTCGTGTACCAGTAATGCTGATTGGGATGAAGCTATATAACATGTGCAGTATTTCTTTGACAGCTTCTGGTATTTCTGCTTTACTTTCAACTTAAAAGGAAATGTACGGAGATACCGGTTAAACTTTATTAATGAAAGCACTATTAGAAAACAAATGAGTTAGTTCTCAAACATAGAACAATGGTGATCAAAGAAGAGCTATTTACATGTATTCACGTTTGCTTACATGTCATCCAGCACAAATGGATCAAACATATCAATAACAATTTTCCATGTATCCCTTTTCTACAAAATTCTCGTCGCTCTAATGACTTTTTCAATGAAGCTAAAAGGAGGAAAAAGATTCTCTTACTTATACTTATAGTTAGTACTAATACAATAAATTTGTTTAAAATTTGAGCCTTGCCTGTGTTTGGTTGATTTAATATGTGCATAATTTATATTTTTTATATTCATCAGATTCAGGTACAGTTCTGTGTGGTTCAACAGAAGAAGAATTGAAAAGTGAAAAGGAAGTCTGTGCAGCAACATGCACGGCTGTAGAAGGTATGTACCATATGCCTTTTAGCAATTTATGTATTTCAACCAATTTTGGAATTGGGAAATGTGAAGGGATGGGCGGGGGGGGGGGAGGCGGGGGATGAATGAAGATTAATACAGAGCAGGAAATAACGGAAAAGAAGGGAATATGGCAGTACTGCTATCAGACTTTGTTCTCATATTGTGTAACAGTTGTTTTCCTTTTGTTTGGGTTCATTCCTTTAATACCCAATGTTGACCAACGTGTAATTTCGCACAACATCTTAATTTAGAGCCTCTTCTAGCAAGAAGGGGCACAAATTTGTTTTTTAGACAGAAAATTGGGTAAGTTGTAAAGCACAACGAAGCCTGCCACGATATGATTTTTTAATATCTGTCAATAGACTTCAATACCAAGAACATAGCTGCTCGGCAAATGCCGAAAATTGGTGATTTAAAAGTCATAGAACATAATTTTCATATCCTGTCTGTAACGCTTACGTCAACTGTAATTCAATCAAATTCAGACTTTGCTTTAGGCGTTTTGTTAATTAGCTGTTGGGACTTTTGTTGATACAATCTGTTACACTTGTTTTGATTACTCGTATCGAGATAAGCAACCATTTTCCAGTAGAAGTTTGAAATGATGAAATCTCCTCGCGCGAGGTGATTTTAGCGAGATGTGACACAATCCTTGACCAATCAGAGTGCATGCATCTCAATAGTCATCAGAGCAATTATACCTATCAGTCATTGTTATTATTATCATAATTACTATTACTATAATTGTTATTTTTACAAATTTTTTTGTTACCCAAGTTTCCTCCTAACGGGGCTAGTTTGAAAATAAATCTCATGTCTCTACATCCTCCTTGGAGTTTGATGCCAATCTTAATTTCCTTTCACATTATACGATTTTAGGCGACACTTCTGTGAGCGAGAACAACAAGGAATTGAATCAGTTACACTCTGTTGAAAAAGAAGGTGACGTCACTGAGATGAAATCGACGCTTCCTCGTGGGTTTTCTGTTGACTCCAGGAACACAACAGGCGCAACGCCGCTAATGAATGCTGCTTTGAATGGCAATGTTCAAGCGGTGAAGAGTTTGATTGAAAGGGGAGCAGATCCTTCCCTGACGGACAACAAAGGAGGGAACACGTTACATTATGCCGCACAGGGCGGAGACACTGATATTATATCTCTAATCCATACTCACCTGCCCAACATTGAGTCAAAAACAGGCGAGGGTCTAACGCCACTAATGATGGCGGCTTACACTGGCAAATTACATGCAGTGAAATGGTTTCTTGAGAAGGGGGCAACTGTAGCCTGTGAAAGCAACAGTGGATGGAACACGTTACATTATGCCGCATCTGGCGGAGACACTGATATTATATCTCTAATCCATACTCACCTGCCCAACATTGAGTCAAAAACAGACCAGGGTTCCACGCCACTAATGGTGGCGGCTTTCAATGGCAAATTACATGCAGTGAAATGGTTTCTTGAGAAGGGAGCAACTGTAGCCTGTGAAGACAAAAGAGGTTGGAACATGTTACATTTTGCCGCAGAGAGCGGAGACACTGATATTATATCTCTAATCCATACTCACCTGCCCAACATTGAGTCAAAAACAGACGAGGGTCTAACGCCACTAATGGTGGCGGCTTTCAATGGCAAATTACATGCAGTGAAATGGTTTCTTGAGAAGGGGGCAACTGTAGCCTGTAAAGACAAACTAGGTTGGAGCCCGTTACATCATGCCGCAAAGGGCGGTGACCCTGATACCATTGATCTTATCCTTACCCACCTGCCGGACGTTGACTCAAAAACAGCTGATGGTGAAACACCTCTTATCATCGCTGTTTCTTATGGTAAGCTGCAGGGTGTAAAGTATCTTCTTGAGAGGGGAGCCAATCCTTTGGCTAAAGATAACGAAGGACAGGATTCTCTGTATCATGCCTCATCATGTGACTCAGATTGTTTGGACTTGCTATTGAATCACGTGCCTAGAAGTGAGTCAACAACGGGCAATGATTAACTCAGGTTGGTGAAGTAAGCTTTACAGCTTATTTTATGTTTGCTTAACTCTTCAATGTCAAAATGTAACCTACTGGTTTGTTTGTTCCGTCAACTTCGAAGCCGTTTTGGAGGAGGTTTTTAACAGGCTGTGTGTTATTTGATATTTTACCAACTAGACCTACGTACAATCTGTACAACTTGTGAGCTGTTCAACAGTTTCGGTACGGAATAGCTTCTGTCGTTAAAGTTGCACTTGAGCCTGGGCTTTCTGTGGCATGTTGGCTGAGTGTAATGATTTAGTTCCATTAAGCTAGTTGATTTCAACACTGTGTGCATACAAGCATTATTCTCAGAATTTGCTTATCCAGCTTGTGAAAGCTTTCATGAAATAAAAGCTGTACAAGTCACCCGAAGACAAAAGTCAGTGGCATTTGGACAGAGCACAGCCATAAGCTTAAAACATATGAATGATTCGAATGAATCGTATGTTGCGGTGTTAGTGCTGGGCTGCATTTGGCATGAGACGATATGTACCAAGATATACATTCTCTTAGTGCAGCGTGTTCTTGTTCAATTGTCGGAGGAATCTTCATTTCTCTTCCTAAAATACTCTTTGGTTTTTTCTCTTAGGTTACAATTTGCGTGGTGTTGTCAATATTTGAGGTTCTCTTGTGGTTTGTACTATACTGGAAAAGCTGTTAGTGTATGTCTACAATATTACCGGTGATTTTATTTTTATCTAGTTAAACGTTTTTAAAATTGATATAATGTTATGTATATTTCACAAGTACGAGGGTGTTTTTTTACTAGGACGTATTAATTTCAAAGACAGAAGTGTAGGTTTCAGCAACGTTAACGGCCTCTTTATTTCCCTATTTAAGACGTTTCAAAATTAATGTGATTTTGTATATTTTTCACAAGTAAATAGGTTGTTTTTTTACTATAAAACTTTTTATTATTATAGAACATATAGATGTAATATAACGGCTGTATAGTTTGATACAAAAGTTGGAAATATGAACGTAAATTGCATTTCGTTGAACAAGTTTGTCTTAGCTGAAAATGTCTTCCGATAACATTTGTATCAAGCTAAAATCGAGGTTGGAATGTTTTTGTAAAATTTGAAAAAAAGAAGTATGAATTCAGACGTTTAGCCAGTGTATTTTGCATAGCAGATCTATTTTTTAAATACTATTTTATATAATAGCACATGGCTTTTACTTTTAACGCGATCGATGTTAAGAATATCTCATTTTTCAAGGAAACCTGTTAATAGAATACATGAAGAAATTTCTGCATTCTGATTGGTTGCAATACAGTTTTCATGAAACACCAATGCAGAAGAGAGCTAATACAGTGCAGAACATTGTTAATTCAGTAAAAAAACCGTAACGAACTGTATAATAGCTTAAAAAAGAAAGACATGTCGAAAATTTTCTTCTTTGACGTAACACGTTGATTTGACCCAACACACAATGATGTTTGCAGGGTTTGAATGAATCTTTTTGTACGTGTTTTACCTTTTGTTTGTTTCTGCATTATCAGTGAAGCTATGTCGAAAATTAGTTCATTTTAAAATGAATAAGAAGTGACATGACTTTTCTTAGGCAAACTGAAATGAGTAAGCACTCGTAATTTTTAAAAAGACAACGAATTTCACACGCCCTACGGGCACGTGCAATTAAGATGGTTTAAAAAATAAAAAACAAAAAACAAAAAACTGGGGTATTTATACCAAATGTCACTCGAAGTAGTGCGATTACCTGTACCAATAAAGAAATGATAACATCACTGAGAGGCTCTAATTACAACAAATTTTTAGGTAACCTTTGTAAGCGACGTTATAACTGTAGTCAATAAAATTTTATATCACCGAACGAAAGAAAGTCTTGTTTGTCAAAGGGAATGACTTTGATATTTCTAGCGTCTGGGAAAGTAGTGAAAAAAATCCTTGTTTGGATAAATAGGGAGAAAGGGGAGGGTTAAAGGGAGCAGTACATGTATATATCGTCTATGGGGAAGGAGGCCTTTTTTTTCCGGGGGGGGGACTTTTTGGTTTTTTTAGGGGGAAGGGAGGTTGGACCAGTTGTCACTAATAGAGCATCTGGAGGGGGGTGTCTGCTGATAAGGGAAATCCTTAAAATACTACAGAGCCATAGAAGGGTGGCGGGGGGAACAAAATGTTCCCACCCTACTCACCCCCCACCCCCAGATGATAAATAATAAGCGGCCCCAAACAAACAAGCCAAAACAAAAAACATTCGAGAGATTGAAGAACTGCGTTTAGGAAGGGTACAGTTGGTGACTCTTGCCAGTCCTCTCCCCACGTTCGCATTAAGTGAGCCTTTGAGGATTGTGTCAGCGTCAGTTTTGGCATAATTTAGCAAACCGCTGAAGTATACAAGATAGTTGTTGTTTTTGTATGCTAGTTTAATAAACTTGACTTTGCATATCTAACTAGGCTACTCAAAAACTAGGTAATTTAGTTTATCAACTGAGTTGATAACGTAAATTGGTCACCGCAAAGAGTTTAGCCGCTGAAGTTTTGAGCGTTAGAGCGATTGACGAAGGGCTAATGCTCGAAACGTCAGCTTTTAAAATTTTCACGGGGGCCAATTAACTTTATCAACTCAGTTGATAATAGTAAACTACCCTATTATACTCTTCCACCGACGCAGCACCACTGTTTCTTTAGAAACTTGCCCCCTTTACTCAAAATCTATGCAGGCAAAGGAAAGGTGCATGTGACACAGCAGCAATTAATCTAGAAAGTATGGGTCACATGATGAGGCGAGATGTAAAGAATCCTGTCTGTTGTTGTCTTTAGCCAAAAGATTTGCACCTTCGAAGGTTATACTTTACACCCCACAGTTTGCCATGACAAACAACAATGATTAGAGATGCATCACCACAGGCGGTTTTTACCTATGCAGCACATCCCATCGTTGTCTACACAGGTTGCAGTTGTCCTCCTCTCACAAACCATTTCACTGCATGTCCCTTACCAGTCCGTTACCAGTCACTGCATGTCCCTTACCACTCCCTTACCAGTAAAACCAGCTACCATAAGGGGCAAGGGACCCTGCTCTGTGTTCCTTGGGTCAATGTCTGGCACGTCAAGAAGGATAAGATTATTGATGTCAGTGTCAGTACTCTGTGCGGAAAAACAGAACACATTCTTATATCCTGTTGTTTTCACTGGTTGCAGTTACTTCCTTCTCAAGAAACCACTACACGGCCTGTCAATTACAATTCACAAAAGGAATCATAAATAGGGAGAGATTCTCAGCACACCTTGACTCAATGTTTGGCACGTGGGTTAACATCAGAGCAATAATTTAAGGGTTACCACCCAGTGCAGCAAGTTGTAATGAATTCCATCCTCCTTTGTTCATCAGACACAGATCTGCTCCTCTCTTCATTAAACCCTGAACCTTGAACCTTGCCACTCACAGAAACATTCATTAGCAGCGTTCTACCTTTTGCATCTTGGGAGTCAACAGAAAAAAAAATCATATTATTTGAACAGAAATTTGAAAATAAATGTTAAAAGAAAGGCAACCAATAATAATAATAATAATAATAATAATAACGGAAATATCTTCACAGTGGAAATGAAAGCATTTCAAAATATCACTCAATACTTTTCCAGGTAGGTACTCAGTTGCTCAGAAACTGACATTGATCCACAGAAACAGGGGGAGCACCATTTTTATGTATTAAAGAGGGTGGACGATGAAAAGTTATGCACTTCTGAGGGGAGTGGGTCATCTGTGAAACATGCTTTAATCTGATGGTACAGGAAGTGTATTATAGATAGTACAATTTTTATGACTTTGTTGAGTTAAGACTATAAGATAATCTTTTTTGGTCCAGTTGCTGAGGGAATAGAAAGCACTTTGGAACAGTGAGGCTCAATATGCTGTTAATCAGTTCCTCAAATTCTATGTGAAACTATGATTAAGAATCAGCATGATCTAATTTTAGGAACAGCAGAACAGCTTTTGAAAACCTACAGATGCTGTAACCACTTTAGACTAGCTGCTTACCATAAGTAACTCATATTTGAAACTCCAGCTCAAATTGCACTTTAAATTGAATACGTTTGAAACCAAAAATCCCCTTTCTTTGAAATGTTTTGTTTTTTAAACACAGGTATCTTGTTCCCAAACTTATTAACTGATCTATTCATGCTCAAATTCAAGCACAAACAAAACCTTTCAGCGGCTTTAAACCATTTCCTTCCCAAGATCTTAATAGTAATTCTCCTTACTGTCTGACACATAATTTTTATGATGTTAGTTCAGAGAATTTGGTATTGGATCAACTTCTAATCTCCCACTAGACTTTTTCTTAATTCTCTTCACTTGTCTGCTTGATATTGTATTAACATTGTAAGGAGAAATTCTGTGTTGGTCACCAGTGGAAGTCAAAGGGTTAAACAACAATTCACAGGTAAATAACAAGTCAGTTTTAATGGCATGTTATTATTTTGATAGTGTCTTTATTGTCCATGAATACACATAGAAAGATCATAATCAGACAAACTTGTCACAGGTGAGACAATTACCCAATACATCATTTTAATGGGCATTGCGTTATGCAACGATAGAGCGTGATATTTAAGTGCTTTTGGATTGCCGAGCATTGTTGATCATCTTTTCTAACAAATTTCAAATGGTAAATAAAATACAGCCTTATGCAATGAGTATCAAAACAAAGTTGTCTTCCTTAGTTCAGATAACATGTCTTGCCAGAGTGAGAGATAGGTAAGTAAAAGCAAAACAGTTGACTTAGGGTGTGGATAAAAATGACTCTTAGGAGGTGAATAGGGGTGGATTGGATTCAAGGGTGGGCTCCATTTAATCGTGCAATTAGTAAAGGAAGTTGGGGAGGGGGGGGAGGGAGGGGGCTGCTGAAACTTGTTTTCATTCTAGAGTTGAGCGCTTGAACGATGCCATCCAACACAACTTTCATTCGCTGCTTTCTGCCTGTTCCGTCTCTGGAGTCTATAGACAATCCAAAAGGAAGCGTGGACTTCATCTTGGTGACGTCGCTGTCTCTTTCAGCAGAGTGTAACTGATTCAATGCCTTGTTGTCCTCGCTCACAAAGGTGGCGCCTAAAATCGTAAAATTTTTAAAGGAATTAAGGCAACATAATACAAGAACGATGTAGAGACATAAGATTTATTATGGAACTAGTAAATTTTACTTTAGGAGAAATATTAGGCGACAAGGAGATTTGCTATTGTATTCACGAGTAGTCAAGTTTTCCGGTCGATCTGTACACCTCATAAGAGAGACTTAGAGTCTCTCTGGCCATGACCAAGTGTGTTGACGCGTGGATTAAAATGCACGCTTGATCTGCACGATAGGAGCGGATCACTTGCTCAGTGCACATGCAAACAACAAGGGTGTAACTAGTTCTACCAAAGAGCAACACACGAAGTGCACGACACACCACCAGGTTAGCAGACAAAATCCAAGTATCCCTAATAAGATTCACGGATGGACAACACGACCCGAGAATACATTAGGCGATTCGTACGGGTCACACGATTCGTGAATTTTTCACACGATCTCTAGGGATCGTACGAAACGACAAAATCCACCATGGCCTGAAAGACTCAAGTGGTGAAAAAAGTCTCTTTAATAACATTTATGGATCGACACCACGACCTTACGACTCGTGAATACAGCAGACGACTCGCGCGTTAGGAGCGTACGACTCGTAAATACATTTCAGATCATTACACGATCCGTACGGATCGTACGGATCGACGAGTCACTTTAAATTTATGACTCCTTACAATCCGTGGTATTGAACAATCCTCGCCAAACTTGCGAGTAAACACAAAAAAGGAAAAGGCAGAAATGATGAGTGTCTACAAATAAGTTGTGCTCTTTCTCTCTCGATTTGCTCTACTAGTAGTAATAGTTCGGCCCTAAAACAAATTCTTGCCCCTGTTGGGAATTTCTCGGTTTCTGCTCGCTGAAAAAAATCTAATTAATGGCGAACTTCCCGTTCGCTAACCAAAACCAACCACACTTGAAGAATCACGTTTTTTTTTTTAGAATACATTCTCCTCACTGGTTTCACAAGGTTTTTCCTCTTAACTCACAAGGATGCGTTCTTCAAAAATTACAATAAAACCATTCACGTACTGTATTAAACCTATTCCTATCGATTAAACGTCATCATCCATTTCTGATCTGTGTCACTCTGCGCTTACATTCAACAGTCGCTTCCAGTCGGTGATTAGTAATCAAATAGTCAAGTCAAACACAAACAACGAAAAAAATAAAATGCCAATAATTTCAACACCTCTTATGGCAAAAAGAGGCTCTAATTAAAGATGATACGAGAAGTTACATCTTAATCAACTTTGAGTTTTAAAGGGATTGAGGCCAAGCACCAGAATATAGATGTTACAAAAAATTGAAGTAAAAAAGTGTAATATCGCTGATCGGTCCCAGTCTCTCCCCCTTGCATATTAAATTACTGATAGGCACATGGTATACCTTTTACAACAGTGACTGTATCTGTTGCTGTAAAAGATTCTTTTTTATTTCTCTCTGCTTGTTCTCAGAACGGTTGAATCATGTACAGCTGTACCTAAATCAGACGAATTTGAAAAATAAATACCAACAACAAAAAACCAGAAAACGCAGTAATTAAATGAACCAAACGCAGGCAAGACTCAAATGTTAAACATGTTCAATGCAGAGCTAAGTAAAATAAAGCATATTTTGCCTCCAGTTTCAGCTTCAGTGAAGTGTGGGACCAGTGTTATATGGAAAAAAGGCAGACAAAATTATATACGCACAAACATTTTGACAATTGATCCAAGTGCCAATTGACTGACCCATAAGCCGTAAATAGATATAGATAGCTCTTTTTGATCAACATATCATTCTATGTTTGGGAACTGACTCATTTCATTCTTTATTGGTTCAAGATTTATCTATAAATGTATACTCTCATGAGATCTCTTTTTTTGGAGTTTAGTCAAGTAGCGCTTTGATTAATAAGTGTTAGGATAATAAAGTTCTACAGGTATTGTTTCCATACATTTCCTTATTGATCGTAACTAAAGCAGAAACAGTTACATAAATTCTATATTTATTAAATTTAAGCTTTATCTTAGTCAGCAATTTCATTAAGGTCTTTGATTCACCATAGTTGATTATTCCAAATAATTTAAGGTGCTAATTATAATCCTCTAACATTGTGAAAAAAAGCTCAGAACTAAATTTACTAATACTTTTTATTCTCCTTGCCAGACCTGATAGATTTATTGATCTGTTGCATACAAGCTAGTCTAACAGACAGTTACAATAAGCTGTTTAACTCAGATATCTTTACAATGTAATGTAAAGCTTATTCACTGGGTATGCACTCTTCTCGTTTGTTCCAGCTCTCTGTTTTCAACTCAAGTTTGTTAATAAGTATTAATTTCCTATATAATATATTACTGTTTTCATATTGTCTTCTATTTGTTTACCTCTAAGTTTATTTTGCAATTACCTATCAGATATTAAGCAGCAATAAAGTTTTATAAAACAAAACACAACACAGTCTAGACAGCTGTGTGGAGCTTTGTACACAAAGTTAACCCTTTAGCCCCTAAGACTGACTAGCATCTAATTTCTCCTTTCTATTTCACCCCTAAATCAAACATGAAAGTTAGGAGAATAGAGGAGATGATCACCAACAAAAGCAGCTCTTGACTGTGACACAAATTCTCCCTGTCAGCCTCTTTAAAAATGTATGGAGAACAGTATGGAGAATATGCATTCTGATGTTAGGGTGTAAAGGGTTAAGAGAAAATATAAGTAATTACCTCTCTGTAAGTTAATAGCATTAAGCCTACAGAGATATGAATGCACATAGCTCACTCTTACATGCCAATACTTTTTTCTTTTCAGATGTGTAAGTCTTAATCACAATAATTGGCCATTTCTTTACAAGGTAAATATGCAATATTATGTGTTCTCTGAGACACTTTGCAACCCTAGTAGGTATGCAATACATATCTGTTTTAGCAAAATTTAAATGTTGTATCTTTTCCTTCACTGCTTGTGTGTACCAAAATATGTTTCTCATGGCAGCTTTTTTTTTTTGTTACCCTGCCAATCGCAAATCAAAACTGACTAAATTTAAGTTGCAGAAGAATCACAACTTGACCCAACAATACTCCTAGTGTCACCAAGAGGTAGCAAAAAATATGTGTATAACTAAAAGTTCCAATATGCAATCATCATCAACATTAAAAGTTATCTTCTATAACCATTTTAAAATTTGCTTTAAACCCTTCAACTCTCAGATCTGATAGTCAATTCTCCCTACCAGCTACTACATAATTATTTCCTTTTAAATTAGTTCCAAGAATTTGGTGTTAGATCAAGACAACTTCTACTTGATATGTTTGAGTATTCTTGTTGCCTGTTTGCTGGATGATGTATGGATATTACAGGGAGAAGTTGGATTTTAATAACTTCTGAGAGTTAAAGCGTTCAATGGTATTCTGTGGCATCTCTTCATAATTCATCCAAAAATGTCTATGATACAGTCGCATAAAATTTTGACTGATTGCAAGCATATAAATATGACTCTCTTATCAATTAAGCTTTTACTTTAGTCACCCAGTTGGTGCTTGGAGAATTTGAATGCAAAATGATGCATGTAACTCTACGCTGCTGAGCTTAAAAAGATGTTCTCTTTTATCTTCAGTATACATATGCGTGTGGCTTATTTTTCAGTACAGAAACAAATTAGGGCCTAACCTGCAATACTACATTGGACATTCACACAACTGATGCAGACTCTGTTTGTTCATTGTTCTCTGTTTCTCCATCTTCTAAGCTGCTGTACAGGTGTGAAACATTGACTATGGACAATGGAAAGAAATATCAAGTAAGCTTATACCATAGCCAGCAAACATCACAACCCCAAACACAAACAAAAGAAAGAGCAAATTAAGATTGTTTCTGAGGAGCTGAACTTTATCATTGTCCCAAAATGAAAATGTTTATTGTTCATAACCTTCTTTTGCATTGATGAAACAAATTAAGGCATATAATTAGCCTGCAATGGCTTCATCAGGATGTTGAATACTCAAAGGCAATTCTTTTCCCATAAGGTTTGTTTCATAAATGATTTAGTTGTTAATTCCTGATAATAACTTACCGACTGTTACACCATTTTTGTGAAAAACTTTAAAGCCAAGTGCTATGCCACCACAATGTCTCTCCCTAAGGTAGAACAAGAACAAAAGTATTGAATCTAAAAATTAAGCATTCACAGAAGATAAATGAATCAAATGATTCTGATCTGTCATCATACATACTCCACCCTAAGCTTTGCATTCTGTTTAGATCACACAATGCATAAGAAAATCCTTTTCAGGTTCCTCCTTGACTTTCCAATTACATTCTATATGGTTTTAATTATTAGAGAGAGAAATACTTTCAAAATTATGAACTTTTAATATACAAAGCCATTAACAAATTGTCATGATTATCTCTACAGAGCCCAGTCATGGTACTGCACATACAAATAATATGGTGCAATAAAGTTACAGGTGTCATCACACCACCTGTACTTGTCTACATCTGCAGATTTCACTGATTGTCTGATTGTCCGTGTGAACTTCAATAGATTTCACATGTTTATCTTAGTAAATGTTTTACTATTGGAAACAATTGTAGTTGTGAATACCTTGAGGTCCCTTTCAGTTAGCTGAACTAATTTTTAACCAATCATTTCTTTAAACATGTACTTAGCAAATTAGACTACCTTTCTCGGCATTTTTGCAAGACAAATGCCATGCTTCTGAATTAATTATAAGTTAGTCAACAGTGAGTTAACTTTAATAAACAAAATGCCAAGACTTGAAACTATTTAACAATTATTCTTGTTTATTTAATGATTGGAAAACATTGTTTTTTAAAGGCTAGTCAGAGAGGAAACAAACATTTCACTGCCATTACATTCATAGAAATAGCATCCACTTGTTCCTTCTCTTGATAAGTCAAATCCATATGCAAAGATGTTAGCACCATTGCCATCTTTAATGACATCAACTTTTGCCTGATGAAGCAATACAAAGCTTTTACTGTAAATCCACAAACTAGAAACAGGGAAAAGGAATCTATACAGCTTACAAGTGTAATAGCATGATGCCTTGTATAATTTTCAAATACAAATCAAATATTAATAAGTCACTTTTCGGAGAGGGCACATGTGCATCTTTGAATATAAAGTGTTTGCCTAAAATGACGAATATGT